CATGATTTTTATCCTTCATGGAGAGGTGGCATCTACTTATGACTTAGCAGGATTAGGCAAGGCCTCCCTGATGTACCCATGCACAGTTCGTACTCGTGGTACATCCAGCTAGTTCTGAGAGCCACAGTAAATGGTACCTCTAAGCTTTTCCCTAGAATCCTTTCCTCCTTTTGCCCTAAGCCAGTTTTCTGACTTCTTGTAGGTTACTTAATATACACAAATTTTTATTTCATTGACTTGAGTGGGTCTGTCCCGGAGGTGGAAGAACTGAAGAAACAGAAAAACACTGAACTATGTTGCTGATGGCAGATCAGTACACTTAACAGTACTGGGTGCCATCATTAATCATTAAGAGATCATTAATAGAATGACTTGGCAAATGCCCCCACCATCAGTGAGGTTGACAGTGATCCTGAAAAGCCAAAGATGCAGCCTATGGAATCATCCCTGTGCTTTTGCTGTGTAATAGAGTGAATGCAGCAATATCCATCACACGCATTATAATTTGGATGTGCTTGTCCTTAGGAAAGACGAAAAATACAGGAGGTTGTGTTTTGTGTTGCTGAGGACAGTGGCTCCTGTTTTGTGTGTTTTGAGATGATAATCAAGAGGGAAATGGGTGCTTGCAGCCTATGAGCACAGCCTCTACACTGTGAGAATGCATTTCCTCCTGTTTTTTCCTCTTCTGCACTGCGCTGAAAATAGAGTTCTTGGCAGTTAATGTGTGTCAATGATGTATGTCAACGATGGGGTTGAAAGCTGTATGTTTATAAAGTGTTTCCTGAGCTTGCCTGAAACCTCCTAACCTAACCATCCTTGCTAGGTTTCTCACCACGGTTATAGGTCACATGTCTTTATTCTCTCCCCTGCCCTAAGTAAAGAGATCAACTTGTTTGGCCTTTTCAGCACAGGACTGAGAACAGAAACTACCATTTACCTTAATTTGTGCTGAGATACCATCTCACTTGAATTTTCTGTCCACTTCTGAAAGAACAGAAATAGGTTGGATTTGCCAACCTCAGGTGTGTTGTGAGGTGAAATGCATGAATTATCTTGAAGTGCTCTTTTAGGAAGCTTTATACAGCAGATGATTTTTAAATTAATTTCTCTCTTGGGAAAATTCAGTGGCAGTATTTCCTCATTAACTCACTGCTTTTCTAAAGTATTGATGCTTGGGAAGCCTGGGCAGAGAGGACAGCAAAGAATATATACAGAATTGCTTTAATATTTATTCAGTCTGGGCATAATTTGTGTCTGCATTTGGCTGGGCTGGTGTCTGGGGACTGCTTTTTGTTCAGCTATTGCTGCAGTGCTGGACTGTTGTCGCTGTGTTAGGCAGCTGGTCGGGAAAGAAATCCGTTGGCATCGCGATGTGGGAGGGAAGTAGTAAAACTGTTGGTGTATTTACCTACCTGTGCTGCAGAGAGTGTGGGAGAGGATTACACCATTCCATTATAGCTAAGTGAAACCCAAGGTTCAGACAGAGGCTGTTTTCTCTTACAGAAATCAGGTAAAGTGATGGCCAATCCTTTCACGCTGTCTCCTCTAGCTGCTCTATCCACTGTACTCTGTTTCTTACTGACAGGGCTTGGTGATTTGCCTTGGAATCCAATTGCATTTGGCCCAAGTGAGAGCACATTTAGTCTCCTGCTTCCTTGTACTTGGATGGCAGGGCACATGGCTCACAAATTCCAGCCTCTGCGATCCCTTACAGATAGGATATAGTGTATCAAGTACTGAATCAGGAGTTGGGAATTTGGGGGTGGTTCTGTTGTCTTGTGACTATAAAGGCTGGCACTTGGTTAGTGCAGGAAAAGTGGAATATGTTGCTTTTAGTTAAATGAGCAGAAGGTAAGGAAAGGTTCTCCTTATTTCTATGTCTTTTTTTTTTTTTTTTTTTTTTTTTTTCCTATCCTGCTGCAGCCTGAGGTTTCAAGTCCCCAAGTGCCCCTCACCTTGGAGGGGAAAGCAGTGCTGTCTAGTGCAAAATTCTCTCACTGTTGACAGGGTCCTGGTGTACTTGAAGAGCTGAGGCAGAATAAAGGTGAGGAGTGTTTGATTTCTCTTACTGCTGATCAGTGTCGAAAGCCTGAACTTGCTGAAATCAGAGCAGTGGCTACGCACCAGTGCACAGGCAGCTGCTTTGGCCGGATAAAATCCCAGCTAGGCCACAAGAAAGACCTATTTTGACTAGAACAGGAGCAGACTTGGTTTCTAACCCTTCTGCGTCAGGCTGGGTCTTCCGCAGTTCTCACTGTAACTTTAATAGGAAAAGGTTAATCTGATTAGGTAGCATGTGCAAAGAGCTTTAAGGGTGAAAAGTGCTCTGTAAGTGCTGACTGTGGTGATGCTGATAGATATGCTCTATCAGCAGGCTGCAGGATGAGTAAGAATCTTTCTCAGTTTGACTGTAAGAGATGCTTCCTAGAGGGCAGTATTTCAGAAAGAAGGGGGATACAAGAAAACCCAGAAGAGAGATTCCTGTCTTCTTGTTGGTGTCTGCCTCCTATTGAGCCCTCTGTGGGCCCTGGTGAGCTTGTAACAGCTCTCTGGTTTAGTGCTTGGAGTAACTTCACTGAAAAGCTTCGAGTAGTGTCCAGGTGGCAGTAGGAGCAATGGGTGGTGCTTTCAGAAGTGATAAAATAACTTGGATGCCGTGAATCTGTTGTTGTTGTTGTTGTTGTTTTGTTTTCTTTTTATAATTACAAAAAGACTTAAGAGCAGAGGTGTTAAAGACAGGTTTCCGTAAATGACATTTTGATACCTACACTGTCTGACAGTGATCACACATTAGGCTTTTTGTCAGACAGCAGTGATGGGTTATGATCTTTATCATCATTTTTTCAGTATGACTTGAACTGTTCCAAACTTGTGGTGAGATGTTTCTGTCCAATACTACCATTAGGCAGAAGAGGCAATCTAATCTAAATGGCATATGGACATAAATTCTGCAGGGCTGTCTCCTATGAGAGTTTTCTTGAGTCCTGCCTTAAGTTCCCTGATTCATCTTCAGATTTCCAGCTCGCATTTTTGGACAGCTTCCTCATTTGCAAGCAAGAAAGATGCATTTGCTTAGAAGAGCCGAAGCACAGCCTTGCTCTGCAGAGCACCTTGAGCTCCGTGTGCACCCGCCTCATCCTGCTGAGCACTAGCAGAACCAGCTCAGCCTGCAAACTCGGAGCTATTTTAATAGTAGAGCAGCACGGTGGCCTGGGCTGGCTTTATTCTAACCTGGGAGATAAGCAGATTCACTTCAGGTAATGCCTCCCGGCAGCCTGCAGAGCTCACAGACCCGCTCTTGTGCTTTGTCCGCTTCCAAAATTTACATTTCAGGTCATGTTGGATTTGGGGGAGGGAGGGCTAAGGCATACAAAGTGCAGTCTTGGGAACTGAACAGAATCACATGTTTTATGGAAGGGAAAATCCTGGGAGGGGGCAGCCAGAGTCCATGATTAGTTTCTAGAGCCGCCTGCATGCCAGGTAGCAGGGGGAGAGAGGCGAGTTGCTTCATTTATCCTCATGTTTCTTCAACCCTCAGAGGAAATATTTCTATTGTAGAAGGCTTATTGATGTGGATATCTGAAAAACTGATATCTACCAAAAAAAAAAAAGGCGCTGTGTAGCTCTTTTGTAGCATATGAGCCAAATATGTTAGATCTAAATAAGCATCTAAATATGTTAGATAAAAGGCATACCAAATAGGATTTCTAACCAGTTGGTTACTATCAAGAGTAGCCTTTGGAGGCTGCCTCTACCCTTGACTGCCACCAGATGCTCAAGTAAAAAAATACTAAAATACAATTTATAGAGTAGCTGCTATCATCAGGGCTTTCAGTGGGATCTGAAGGAGAATATGAAGGAGTAATCCTGTGCTTCCCGTGTGGAAACTAGGGCAGAATGCAGAGAACTGGTTTGGTGACTAGTGCACGCTCGTAGCGCTGGGGAAACCCAGGTTCAGGTCCCAGCTTTCCCACAGGCTTCCGTGGTGTCGGGTTAGTCACCTGGGACGGCAGCGGCGGTGCTGACTCCACGTCCCTGCTTTCACCAGGTGACAGAGCAGGGCTTCTCCAAGGGTTGTGACCGAAATGGGTCTTAACACGTGCTCTCCCCTGGGGGCAGCTGGGAGACCGGGTTAGATGAAAATCGTTTTCTTTGCATCTTTATAGTTCTATAATTCTTTCCAAATCCGTTAGCTGTTGGAAGAATGAATCCTCCTCGACGCAGTCAGCAGGCAGTGCTCTGATCTCCTAGCTACTCTGGCTCTCCTGCTTTCTTGCTCAAATCCTAGATCGTTCAGTTGGCTTGGAGACGGTGGCGGGTGGGTTTAGTCTGGTGTGTTTTGGGTGCACTTACCTGGCGTGACTCTGCTGCTGTCTGTTCTTTTTCCAAACTTAGATCAGAGTGAAGCCCCCGTGCTCTCCACCAGGATCTCCTCCTCCGAAGCGGTCACCAGCGTGTGGAGCCTGCCCCACACCCATCACCTGCCAAACCACGGCCTTTACCTGTGTCTTCCGGTGTTTCCCGTGCGACCCGTCCTGCGGCAGTGCCTCCTGGGCCACCCCGGAGTTCACGCAGCGCTCAGTGGCTCCAATGGTGAAGATGACAAGGTCCAAGACTTTCCAGGCATATCTGCCTTCGTGCCACAGGACCTACAGCTGCATTCATTGCAGGGCTCACCTCGCCAACCACGATGAACTCATTTCCAAGGTACGTGCGCGACCTCGCCCTGCAGGTGCTCGCGGCGACGTCTCCTCCCCGGCGAGCGGAAAGGCCGCTCGCGCTGCAGCTCAGTTGCTGGGGAGATGCCCGGCCTAATTGGCACTGCAATTTTTGCCTGGAAAACAGGCTGTTAGCCTAATGGATCTACTTGTGAGCTGCCTTTTTTTTTTTTTTAAGTGACCTTGAAACTAGCAGCAGGGGAGAGGTTTCCAAGTGCTTTTACTGGTGGTCGGGCTCATCTCAGTGATCACTCCTTCCTCTCCCTTCCCGCTGTAGAATGGCAGTACCTAGTGGCAAGGACTGCAGGAATTACCTTCCCAGTACTTCTTGTTCATGTCCTTGCTTGTCAGCATAGCCAAAGGGTTGTTGTGTGATCATGAATTGGAGAAGTGTCTGGAGAGGTTTCTCTGAAACGGTGAACTGTGCCAAGCAACTACCCCAAAATCCCTAGTTAAGGGAAGTTTCTGTGAACTGCTACTGAAATGTAAGACAGCTTTCCAAAAATTACTGAATTATTGCTCAAACTGTTGTCCTTTTGCCATTATCCTAACTTTCAGTGAAGAAGCCAGGGATGTGCTCTGAGCTGTTGAGGGTGAAGGGATTCTGTCCTGTGTTCTCATCTGGTGATCACAGGTAAAGCGTCTTGAGGATAAACTGAATGAGAAGCTTTCAGAACCACTAAATCGGGAGTCATTGATGTGGAGGGAGTAGGATAATAAGATCTTTCTGAAGTTCAAAAATGCTGCTAAACTTCTCAGAGCAGTTATCCGAACCTCCTGTGCCTGGCTGTGGTCAGGCATCAGGTTTCCAGGTCTGGGCTGCCTTGGCAATCAACTGTTCCATAAAGTTTATTCAGCTCATAAAATTTGTGTTCAGAAGAAACAGACACGCCGCAAGATTTATTAGCTGAGACGAGAGGAAATTACAGTATGAGCTGGAGCAGTGGTGGGGGAAGGGTGCAGCTCAGACCAGTTCAGCTCCTTGGAGCAGTGTTTAGAGAAAGGCCAGGACTGCAAGGGATAGAGGTGCTCTGCTGTTGGAAAGGGCATAGTCCTTCCCTCCTTTCTGCTTGTGCTGAATTGATTAGGAAGGGTCACCTAATGTCCGGGGCACTGGTCCTCACTAGGCTGAAATTTCAGCAGTTGTGAAAGGCCTGTTGGGTTCTTCCTGATGGATGATCGGGACCTGCCTTCTTCTTTTGGAGGCTGTTCCTTTCCTTTCTGCTCTTGGGTGATGTATGGACTAGGTTGATCGACACCTCTATGGTGTTTTCTTCATGTCAAACAATTGAATTTTAAGTATTCTGGTAGGAATAATGCTGATAACACGAAAGCAGTTCTGCTTTTCACCGTATTCTGGTAGGAATAATGCTGATAACAGACTGCAGCAGTTCTGTTTTTCACTATGTAGAGAAGCTTCCTATTAGAATATGATTTCTAAGTCATTCTGGGCCTCATGAGAGTTCCTCTTCTTGCAGAATTGCAGCCTTTCTTGCAGCCCTGTCCTGAAGTGTCATAAAGCTGGGAGCTTCTAAAGAGCCAGAGGTTACACATTTCCTCACCAGAAAGAGGTTTTGAAATGTAAGTGTCAACAGCACAGGGCCCAGGTCTGGATAGGAGCACTTACAGCTTCTCAGGTTGGTGTGTGACTGCAGGACCTTGCTCACGTGCTCAGTTTTGGTATCTGTCACTCCCCTGCTCATCCAGGGCATGGGGGGAGCTGTCATGAGCTGGATTTTGTTTTGAGGCGCAGAAGGATGGATGAAGGAGGATGATTTGCTGGATGAAGGAGGAGATTGTTTTTATTGTACATCAGGGTTTGTGCAGTGCTTTTCTTTCCTGATGCAGCTGGTCCCCATCCAGGGAAAATACACGGTTACAAACAACCAGTAGTTTCACCTTTGACACTTCCTTCTCCTCCTTGTCCGTGCTCCTCCTGGGACCCTGTGCAATGCAGCCAGTTTTGCAGGCAAGTAACTTCCGGCAGAGCAATTCCAAAGGTGCCAACTGCAGCCATCAAGGCACACAATAACTGCCTGATAATGCCAACTGCTAACATATCCTCCTAAGAGAGAGGATTTGAAAGCAAGAAATAAGTCCATTTCTATTGGATTGTGGAAATAGTAAATACAAGGTGTTGGGGTGCTCATACCTGCTCTTTCTAAAAGCCTGTTCTGGCCTGTGGTGTAAAACCATAATGGAGCTGGGATGGCAATGGCTGCTGGAGCATTAGCGGGTCGTGCAGCTTGAGTTCAAAAAAGTTTGGGGTTTTATTTCTCAGAGTTAGAAACCTTATTAAAATACATTCTTTGTATAATTGCAAACCTTATAAAAATAATTCTGCAGTCGTAATTTGTACAACCAGCTATTAAACTGAGAACAGAAGGGCAGTCCCAGCCTCAAGGGGTTTCCAATATGTGTAGGAACTTTCCCAAGCAAACTTAAATAGTCATCTTTTTGTCTGTTTGATTTGGGATTTAAACATCTCCCTGAGGCCTTCTGCAGTCTTTCCATCCCAGCCTTGTTTTAGCATCTGAGAACCAGGCAGTGCAATTGCTTTACTTGTTTTCCATATGAAAATCTAGCAAACTGAAGAAAGAAACCAGCACCATGAGGTTTGAAAAGCGGTGACGTTATTTCAAACCAGAGTGTTTTTCAGCCTGTAGTTTATCCCATCTTGAACCTATGTCACTTTAATCGCAGCAGCCCATATGACTCCATCTTTGGAAACTTTCCCCAGAAAACAGGCTTTTATATAACAGCAGGGTGTTGGTGTTTTGGCTTGGCGGAATCAATTCCTCTATTCCTCTTGCCCCGAGTTGTGCAGAGACCACATGAGAGCTGTGCTGCTTTGCATGCCATGAGCTTTTAGCTCCTTTGAATACATACAAATTGCAGCACTGGCTCATGTGGTTGGCTGAAGCACTAGCTGGAGCTGAATCACAATTTTGTTCTGTGTAAATTCATAGTTTATTTCCTCTTCATCTGAGTTTCCTCTTAGCCCTTCAGCAGCAGTGTTAACTTAATCTGGCTTTGCAGTATTTTGCCAAGACTTGGTATCACAAACTCTTAGATAAGCGTGCCTCAGCAGGACCGGTTTTTTTGTGTGGTGGTTTTTTTTTCTCCCTTAAAGGAAACCTTGTTCATTTAAGGTTGGAGGTTCCTCAAGAAGCCATTGCTATTTAAAGAAAGCAATCAATGCATAGGCTTTTAAGAAACGGCAAAGCTGTTACATGAAGCCAGGTACCAAAATGTTGCCTGCTTATGTGGCTTTTTATCTTCTGTAGCTGGAGGGAGAAAGTGGTTTAATAAGTGTGACTTGTCGTGAGATCCGAATTGTGGGTTGGGTTGTCTGGCCAAGAAAGCTCTTACTGACTTAGGGAACAGAAGGTGATCAGACAGATTGGGTGGAGTGAGTAACTAGTTTTCTTTTTTTAATGTTTATATATATATGTATGTATGTATATGTATGTAAAATATATATAATAAATATTCCTTTGGTGTCTGGGTTAGCAAAAGTGGAGGGTTTTGTTTCCTTGCACCAATGCATCATTTAAAAATGTATGCCAAGTTTAGTACATACTCCTGTTTCATTGCTTTTTCCAATGCCTAAGTGGAGTGAGGATCTGAGAACTCAACCTAGCTCTGTAACAGATTCCTTTGTGACCTTGAGCAAGTTGTTTAATGTCTTTATTTCTCCTTTTCACACTGTACAATGAAGTGCTGAGGTTTTGTCCAGTTGGCTTAGGAAATAAAGCTTTTGAACAGGTACTGACTGCTAGTGTGAGTTAGAGCAGTGTATCCTAATCCTCTTTGGCTTCACTGTTAAAGTAAAAAAAAAAAAAAAATCATGCCAGCCAATTATAGTTTAAAAAGCATTGTTCAGTTTCTTCTTATTGCCAAAAAAATAAGCAGAAGATACATATATCCATATTTATGTTACTTTTGTTTGTGTCCTTCCCAAGCAAAAAAACGATGGTTTTCAGATATATTTAGGAAAAAATATGTATTCTATAACCAATGGTGGCAAAACTCTCTTCAAGTGGGGCGAGGGTTGGGCTGATTCTGGAAAACGTGGCTGCTTCGTTGTCCCCCACTGGGGCTAGGGGTAGAACTGAAATAACACATTCAGCAGTGTAATCAGCGTCTCTTCTTTGTCTCCAAATGGCAGCTTTGATGCTGGTTTCCAGCTGTTCTGTGCCGGGGAACCTCCCTGACAGCCTTTCCTATTTGAATTCATGTGTTCCTGGTGTCCAGTGGAATAGGATGGGAACAGGAGCAGAAAGACACAAACCAAACATGGGCAGATTGGACTCTTGGATGCTGGTTTTTCTTGCTATGTGAACAGTAATTCAACAGAAATGTCCCTGATTATGGAAGTATGTAGGGAATGTCTTGTGGGCGTCCTGCAGTTGCTATTTTTTTCATGAATTTCTGTGAACCAAGTGCTAAACATTATGCAGTGCTGTATTCTCTGAAGTTAGCCCAAGGCTTGCCTCGGAAGCGGAATATTTTTCTTTGATGTCTGCACAGGGCCCTTTCTGAACACCATGCAAAACCATTCAACACAAAAGGCTGAAGCTCTGCCAGCACAGAATTTAGGAAAAATGGCAAATGTGCGTGTGCCTGACTTTCCATTTGGGACGGGACTCTTAGGGAATGCTTAGAAAGCCTGTATGCCTTTTTTAGGGAGACAGGAGGGAGATGTGAGATTTCTAAGCAAATACCACAACTGCTGTGGCTTCCTGAGCCCGAGGTGGCTATTAGAGGTACTCCTGATGGCCTGCTGGAAGCATCAAACTTTGCTCTATTTGCACATGGAGGATCTTAAAAGGATTTGCCACTTTGGTGCCAGCTTTTAGATAAGTAGTGGCTTAATTCAGTTTCATCAAAGCATTTCATGCCCATGGGCACTATATGTGCAGCCTCTGAGATAAGCAGCGGTTTGGGGGCTGGGTTTCTTTTTCCCCCTCTAAGGCACTAGGTAAA